CGTAGCACTGTGTCACACATTTCTTTGCTGATCAAAATGGGATTATATCGAGTAAAGGGGGGGGGGTGGAGGACGAGAGGCATGTGGTGTGACATTTCATATCACCTAAAGTCACCAAATGTTCCGCAAGGGGAGGAAGCTCTGGGGTGGGTATTGAAGTAAAAGCGAAAGATGCGTCCTCAGAATTTCTCAAGACCAGATATGGAGAAGAGGCGGAATGTTCCGAGAAACACTACTTGGGGGTCTCCAATTCCTTGTTTTCATAAAGGCCACAAGCTCGCCGAGAGGGCTAGGGATATTCTCGCTGGCCGGAAGGAATACTGCAAGTGAATCAACTAATTAAAATCGATATCATAGGAAAAATTGACTTTAACGACACGTTGCACAAAAACTCGACAGTACGCTGCACAAGATTCGCTAGTAGCGAATGTTGAAACGAGTAGCAAACCTACAGTAGAGGAAGTGAAGTGCAAAAGTATCAAATAATTTCTGCTAACAACACTAATAGATAACGTTTTCAGTTGAAACAATAATAGAGGCAACAACGACAACATCGACTACAACAACACCAGTACCTACGACAACCACCACAGCGCCCACATCAACCACTACTGTGCCCACGTCGACACCACAGTGCCCACGTCGACAACCACTGTGCCAACGTCGACAACCACAGTGCCACGTCGACAACCACTGTGCCAACGTCGACAACCACTGTACCAACGTCGACAACCACTGTGCCTACGTCGACAACCACTGTGCCAACGTCGACAACCACTGTGCCACGTCGACAACCACTGTGCCCACGTCGACAACCACAGTGCCACGTCGACAACCACTGTGCCAACGTCGACAACCACTGTGCCAACGTCGACAACCACTGTGCCACGTCGACAACCACTGTGCCAACGTCGACAACCACTGTACCAACGTCGACAACCACTGTGCCACGTCGACAACCACTGTGCCAACGTCGACAACCACTGTGCCACGTCGACAACCACAGTGCCCACGTCTACAACTACAGTGCCTACTTCGACAACCACTGTACCAACGTCGACAACCACTCTACCAACGTCTACAACTACAGTGCCTACTTCGACAACCACTGTACCAACGTCGACAACCACTGTACCAACGTCTACAACTACAGTGCCTACTTCGACAACCACTGTACCAACGTCGACAACCACTGTACCAACGTCTACAACTACAGTTCCTACGTCGACAACCACTGTACCAACGTCGACAACTACAGTGCCGACTTCGACCACCACTTTGCCGACGTCGACAACCACAGTGCCGACTTCGACCACCACTTTGCCGACGTCGACAACCACTGTGCCCACGTCAACAACCACTGTACCAACGTTCGACAACTACAGTGCCGACGTTCGACAACCACTGCCAACGTCGACAACCACTGTACCAACGTCGACAACCACTCTACCAACGTCTACAACTACAGTGCCTACTTCGACAACCACTGTACCAACGTCGACAACCACTGTACCAACGTCTACAACTACAGTTCTACGTCAACCACTGTACCAACGTCTACAACTACAGTTCCTACGTCCACCACTACTTTACCAACGTCGACAACCACAGTGCCGACTTCGACCACCACTTTGCCGACGTCGACAACCACAGTGCCGACTTCGACCACCACTTTGCCGACTCGACACCACTGTGCCCACAGTCGGATCAACACGGTGCACCGTCTAACTTAAAAACAGTGCTCACTTCGACACCACTGTACCAACGTTCGACAAGCACTCTACCCACGTCTCAATACAGTGCCTACTTCGACAACCACTGTACCAACGTCGACAACCACTCTACCCAACGTCTACAACTACAGTTCCTACGTCAACAACCACTGTACCAACTTCAACCAACCACAGTGCCCACGTCTACAACTACAGTGCCTACTTCGACAACCACTGTACCAACGTCGACAACCACTCTACCAACGTCTACAACTACAGTGCCTACTTCGACAACCACTGTACCAACGTCGACAACCACTATACCAACGTCTACAACTACAGTGCCTACTTCGACCACCACTTTGCCGACTTCGACAACCACTGTACCAACGTCTACAACTACAGTGCCTACTTCGACAACCACTGTACCAACGTCGACAACCACTGTACCAACGTCTACAACTACAGTTCCTACGTCAACAACCACTGTACCAACTTCAACCACTACAGTGCCGACTTCGACAACCACAGTGCCGACTTCGACAACCACGGTGCCCACGTCTACAACTACAGCGCCTACTTCGACAACCACTGTACCAACGTCGACACACTCTACCAACGTCTACCACTACAGTGCCTACTTCGACAACCACTGTGCCGAACGTCGACAACCACGGTACCAACGTCTACAACTACAGTGCCTACTTCGACAACCACTGTACCAACGTCGACAACCACTCTACCAACGTCTACAACTACAGTGCCTACTTCGACAACCACTGTACCAACGTCGACAACCACTGTACCAACGTCTACAACTACAGTTCCTACGTCAACAACCACTGTACCAACTTCAACCACTACAGTGCCGACTTCGACAACCACAGTGCCTACATCCACAACCACTGTGCCAACGTCGACCACAACGGTGCCGACGTCGACAACCACGATGCCCACGTCTACAACTACAGTGCCTACTTCGACAACCACTGTACCAACGTCAACAACACACTATACCAACGTCAACCACTACAGTGCCGACTTCGACCACCACTTTGCCGACTTCGACAACCACGGTGCCCACGTCTACAACTACAGTGCCTACTTCGACAACCACTGTACCAACGTCGACAACCACTGTAC